TATCTGCTCAGGGTTGGGTCCTCAGGGATCTGTCACTGCGTTACTCATTTTCTGTATTACCAGGCAGGTTCTTTTCCCAAGAGGCCAGATGCCTTTGCTTTAGACATTCTGCTCTTTGGCTCTTTTGTTAATGTACGTTCACTACAGTCCTTGAAGATCGCACAGGTCCTACTCAGCTGTGACGTGAATTTTTATTTTCTATCAGCCATCCCTTCCCTGACCTTGGGCAACTCCTTCAACACCATAAGCCCTGACTTCCTTTTCTGAATAGTACGGGGCACAGATGAGATGGTCCAGTGTCCCGTTTAGCTCTGATGTTTTAAGAATCCATGATTCTGCCCACGATCAACGAAGTTTTTCAGAGCATTTTTTCCTAGTTCCTTAGTATAAAGAACCATAGAGAAGGCAAATGATCCCCCCCAAATATGCTTTCTTAGGCCCTATTAACCACCCAGAGCACCGAGGAGTAACTGAATCCTTAGTTACATATGGCTGTGCACTTGCTCCAGCATCGTCAGGTGGAAGAATCGTCCTTTCCCCAGTGGGCTGTCTGGCCATCTTTGTTACAAATGAGTTGTGCGTGTATACATGCGTGTTTCTGGACCATTTGGTTTCATTGATCCACTTGTCTAAATTTATGCCAATACAACACTGTGTTGACGACTGGCTTTATTGTAAACCTAGAGGTCAAAGGCTTCCAAACCTGATTTTTTTTTTCCAAAGTTGTTTTGGTTATTCTATTTTTTTTAATTTCCATATAACTTTTAAAGCCAGTTTCTACCAAAAAAGCTGCTACAATTCTGACTGGGATTGTACTGTATTATAGGTGAATTTGGGGACTCACCTATAATATTATTAAAGGGACAAAGGGTTTATCAGGCTGGCATTGCAGTGTGACAATGGCCCCAGAGATGACATGCACATGACCCACCGTGGCTCCAGCCAATACAACTGTAATTATAGAAACAGGCAACAATCCAAATTCAGCCTATAGGCTGTGGTTTCCACACCCTTATCAGGTAATTTTCTTCACAAATTTAGTTTTTCTCTCTGATAAAGTGACTCATGATTGGATAGGTCAACTGGTGACTCATTGTAGGGAAGTTTGATCAAACACTCACCAAAACAGATCATTTCAATAAGCGGTGACCTTTAGAGTTTGCAGTTCGGGTGTTTGGAATGATTTAGGCAATGATAGTTACTAACTTAGTGAAGCAGAGAACTGAGGCTGGCCGAAAAAAAAAAAAATCACCCTGCCCTTACTTGCAGCCTTCTGGCCTCCTTTATCAGGGGAACAGGGCGTACTCTGTTGTCCCATAGCTTTTCTGGAAAGAGAGTGGGCCCCACCATGAAACTTATTTCAGTTCATCTGAATCTGTGCTGTCCCTCCCTCCTGGCTCTGGCCCACTCCTCCCTGAGAAACCACATGTGGTTTAAGCAGCAGACTGAAGTCACTTGCCCTGGCCTCTTCATGGAACATTTTAATGCTGGCATCTCATTTCCCTACACAGCCCCCAAAGGCTTCCTTGACTCTTCTGAGGTTGACAAAAGAAACTGGCTTAAGAGCTTACTGTATAAGCTTACAGTGTGTGTTGTCCATTAAAATCAAGTCCCGTCCGCAAAATAACAACTTGCGGCAGACAGGCCAGTTTCAGAATAAGCAAAGGATTAATGTCAGAGCCCACTGCTGCTGAGCTTCTCCAGACAAGCCACTCTCTTCTCACATTGCAGTGTGGCGGGTAAAAACAGATGAGGGAGAGAGAGGGAGAAAGGAGGGAGGGAGGGGTGGGGGATGGAAGGCCAGGGCAGGGGTGAGCGGGTAGAACTGGGAAGATGAAGTATCAGCTCTTACTGTCAATTTCACCGCCTGCGTTCTCCACCTGGGAGAGCACGTGACTCAGCGCAGAGCGGACCGCAGCTGGGCCCCAGGCGGCAATGCCCAAGCTCCAGGCGCGAAGGCAGAAGCTGCCCAACCCACTTACGGGGCTTCTGCGCAAGGGCGACGAGGGGGCCCATTAGTGCTGTCGGCAGAGACGTTTGGCTGACCCCAGGACGCCTTTGGCTGGTGGGAAAGGGAACCCTGTACTTTAAATCACTGCTTGCACCTCTGAGCTTGATGCTGGTACCCACAGTCCTGGGATCTGGAGAGCTGCCATCCCAGAGCTGCTGTTAAACAAGTTTTTGCTTGTCCAGGTCCGAGTCAGACATTGTTTTGTAACATTCAAGAGACAGGAACTGCGGGGGGTGGGGGGGTGGAGGACGGGGATGAGCTGGCTTAGCAGTAAAAAAAGGCTTACTTAAAAAACTTATTCTGAGCTTTCAATTTGTTAGAGACTGATTTCCAGGCATTCTTTGCTTCTACAATGTAACCAGAGAAGGTTCCTTCTAAAATCAGGTAGACCACGAACTGTGTAAAGTATATTGGCAGAGACCACCATTGTTGTGTCCCTCATGGAGTATTCAATACATAATAGTGTCCAGTAGGTATGAAAATGTGCTGAATGAGTAAAGGAGGGCGAGGAATATGATCTCTTACAGGAGGTATTTTTCTGTCATGGATTTTGTAAATAATATCAGCATTATTTACAATAGCCCAAATTGGACATAAACTCAAATTTAAAGGAAGGTTATAATAAACTATGGATGGAATATGCCGGATGCAGCCAAAGAACGGACAGTCGCAGGCATCCCTTGCTCCCTGCAGGGAGAATGGCTCTAGGAGACCCTGCAGATTCCAAAGTCCGCAGATGCTCTGGTCCCATAGACAAAAGGGAGAAGCCTATGGATACAGAGAGCCAACTGCCTGTGATTTAAAATACTACGTGAGGTTACCCAGAAAGAAGTTAGTTTATAAGGCTCTTAATCCATTTGCCTTCGTAAAACTGCAAAGATAACCTTCTCCCTAGGAAAAAGGGCTGGAGAGAAACAGTGGCTGTGTTTGCAGGTGTATTTCTGGGTCTTCTTCTTCCTTCCCCATGTTTTCTTCAGTGGACATTTACTACTTTTTATAAGCAAAATTGATTTAAAACCAATGGTAAATAAATTCAAAGAATCCGCAAGTTCCCTAAAGACATCTAAGGAAGGATGCTTTGTTTTGCAGAAAAGTGGTTCTGGTGAAACGGACATTGAAGTTGTAAGTTACGTGGAAGAGCCTGGATTTGAGACCCTGGAAGACTCTGTGTTTTGATCATCCCTGAAGGATTCTAAGAAACTCACGCTCCTGTGCCTCAGGGATGAGAAGAGTGGGAATGGCTGTTTTCAGCTAGACAGGAGTTTGGAGTTTACTGAACACTCAATTTAGCTGCAAGGCAACGCACCCAGACAAATCCCCTAAAGGTGTGGGGGCCTCCTCAAAATCTCCAGGCCTTCATAGGGTGACTGATTAACCCGACCATTCTGCCCTGTCTTTTCCCAGTACAGGGTAGCACCTGGTCACCGGCCAGCCTTTGTGATCTGCATTACTTACCTCAACCTTTTTTGTGCTAGAGACAGTTATTAAGGCTAATGTCAACTGTGTTTACTTCTGGGAGTGCCAGTTTAAGCTGCTAGTGGTAACTAACAATCAGCTAAACTCTCAGGAAGAAAGCATTTTGTACCACCCTGGAGTCAGTCATGAACCTGGATTCAAGAATGTCTTTCCTACAGCAAGCGGGAACCATGGTGGGTTTTTTGGGGGTTTTTTCTGAGTTCTACAATACTTTTCCTTTCAAGTTGTGTATGTTTGTGTGTGAGAAAGAGAGAGAGAATCTCAAGGTCCATGGGCATGATCCAGGTAGCATCATTTGAGGCAAACTCACTTAAAAACATAAAAAGCTAAGGTATCACTCCATACCAAATAAGAGGACAGGATTTTGAAGATTATATTCTCGAAGGCAGCCCTGATATTCCAGAAAGCAGGAAGCTCAGGACAGGCAAAGGAGGTCACAGCGCTCAGAACCCCCTCCACCACG